TGGTTTAAATGTGTTGTTGGAGAAGTTGAAAGTAATAACTAAGGAATTAACTATTTTATGGTTAAATGCAATTTCACTTTTAAAGCTGAGAAATGGGAAAGTCGTGATAATCTTTTTTTCTGTATTCTAGAAGATAGAAGACCATTACTCTCTAGAATTAAAATAAGTCCATCGTTTCTGTAAAGAGCTCCATGTTTAGGATCTATAACCTTACTAAGAGTGATTAATATATAGATATCTACTAAAACAGCAATTTGGGTTTAGTCATATGCGCTCATAGGAACATCAAAGTCATCAATAATTTTAACCCATGTAGAATTGTTATATATTGGTAAAGATTGTTAACTTCAAATTCACCACCAACACTGTTAATATAGTTGTTAGCAAAATTTAAAGTTTTTTTTATAAAAGATCTTTAGAAATGGAGGGGTAGAAATCTATAATGTCAAATTGGATAAAAGTAGAATTATTTTAAAAAAATTCGGTGTGAATAGATGAATACTTGAATATATTCATGAAATAAATTATAACCAAAATGAATTTTTAAGAATTGTTTTTATTTTTATTGTTATTATTATTATTATTATTATATTGATCTGTTACTTACAATGAGTTCTCTTTAATTAATTTCCTTATTGGAATTTTGTCCAAGTCGTGTAACAGCATAATTGTCCATCGCACAAAATGTTTAATCTTACTTATTATAAAACGCAGATTGTGTGTGTCTGTACGTTTATATATTGGATCGGATTTCCTACATGTTTCAACCCATTTCAACAAAACTTCACAGGACTACGTAAAATTACATTGCGGTGGTTGTGACTGCACCAAAAATTGGGAAAACACAATTGTTTTTGCACGAAATCAATTTGAAAAGACGATAAAACACGATTTTGTCGCGAGAAGGAAAGAGGGACAACTCATATTGAGTTATACTTATTATAAAAACCAGGTTGTTTGTTTGTGTGTGTGTGTGTGTGTGTGTGTGTGTGTGTGTGTGTGTGTGTGTGTTCGTTTATATATGGGATCGGATTTCCTACATTTTTCAACCGATTTCAACAAAACTTCACTTTTTTTTGGCAGGTAGTGTTTCTTATTGTCTGGCACACATTTTTCTTTATTTTTACATTCATAATGCTTTAAAAATTCTATTTACAAGACAATTGTTTATAATAAAATTCTATTCAATCGATTGACTCATAACGATTGAAAACAATGTGTTTTTTTTGAGTTTGGGTTTGACCAATTCGTAACAAAAAAAAAAAACTAATTAAGACGTGTCCGTAAACCTTAAACAATAATCTTTGTTAATTTTTATTTTTCAGTCTTTATGATGGTCGATACTTGATATATCTCTTACTGTTACATCCCCGGGCAACGCCGGGCTCTACTGCTAGTTAGTAATAAACCGCTAAACTAATTCAGTTTCTTTTTTTTCGGATTTTCAGATAAGACGTTTAGCCATCTTTATACCAGTCGTCGTAAGAATCAGCGAAAAAACCTTTATTCAGCAAGACAGAGAACAGGTTATATTCCTTTTCTGTTAGCCCCGTTAAGCCTTCCCACCTGAGCTATGGTTAGAGGAAAAAGATCATTCACATCTTCAGTAATGAACAAAAATTCTAGCTTCCATCTTCAAAGTCCATTCAAGATCCATCAAGAGAATGGTGAATAAGTTTCAAAAAGAGGGAACAGTAGAGATAAAGTACAGAGAGGAGTTTCAGCTATGACAGTTCAAAGAACAGTGAAAAATACTTGATAATGAAATCGTACGTGAAGCCTGTTACTAGAGGATAGAACGTTAGAAGTTTAGAGAGGGCCTACATCATCTTGAATAAGTTGGAAAATGATCCTAGAATAATAAAATATCTATATATTTGAATTTAATTTTAATATTTCATGAGCTTTTGATCCTTATCTATGATTAATTAAGGATGAGCATGTCATTTTCGTTTATAATCGATTTCATTAGGGGTCTTCTGTTAAGCTTGGAGAGTAATTATACATTCTTATTGCTCAAAGTTGTGTCCAATAGTGTTATAATAACCTCAGAGAATAACAGCAAAATATCTTTAATCATTTCTAATATACAGCAGTTCATAGCCTAATCTGAAAAAAAGGAAAATTTAGCTTTTACACGATTTGCACATTTTGCTAAAATACACCTGATATATATATATATATATATATATATATATATATATATATATATATATATATATATATATAAAGACAAAATGAAATTGAAAATTTATCTTAGTTGATGGTTTTTTTGCCTCTGATGGTTTTATCAAGGCAAATGTAAGGATTTTATTTTACAAATATTTAGAAAAAAGTAAATATTTTACCAGTTTTTCAAGATTTTTAAATAACTCTCATAAATACACATCAGGCTACCTGAAAATTCAAAGTAAATTATTGCGGTCTCTACGTGATGTAATTTAATGTCTAATAAGAAAAAACTGAGCATATTTTGATGTTGATTTTATATTTATTATATACACAATTATTATATACATCATTTTAACTTGGGATCAGTTTATGTGTCATATAATTTATATCATAGAAAGTTATAAATTTAACAGTTTTCTTTTAATTTTTATAGTGATGGGTGTTGAGAAAGGAGTATTTCCTTCAGGAAAGGAGAGCTTTAAAAAAAACACTGGGCGTAGATTTATATTGAGTTAGATTCAATATACAGCAGTTTCAATAACTTTTAACGCTATTTTTTCCTTTAATTAGTATAACGATCTTTATAGAGGAATGTTTGGTGAATTGTGTTGACGTCCCAAATCAATCCATACAATTTCTTTTTTACGAATATGTTAAGCAAAATGCAAAAACAACAAGATAAAAAAACAAGCAACATTTGTAATTGAAGACAAAAGAGAGATATTTGAATAACAAGTAATTTCCAATGTATTTTTCTAATGAAAATATTTTACAAAAATATAGTCGATTTTCTTAGTATAATTTATGTTGAACTCAGGTTTGGTAGAAGATTAAATTTTGTTAATGAGTTCTGATTTCAGCGTATGTAAATGTAAATATAAAAGTGAACATTGAAGTTTCATGCTGGGTGCAATCGTCAGGCCGCCCGACGTTTGAAAACAGCACGAAACACCCTGTCGTTGCCTCTGAGTGTTGACTTCAATGTTCACTTTTATATTTACACACACACACACACACACACACACACACACACACACACATTCCTACATATCATTTCCGTTAAGTTAACCATCTAAATAGGTCAAGGTTCGGTCACTCCTCCTACCCCAATATAAAGCATACTTAGGAGATATATGAAATTAACCCCTCCCTATACTCTACCTTGTCTCTTTAACTACAACTCTCACCCCACCCTGTTAAATTACAAAAATTACACTACCCATCAATTTCTAATCCCATTTTTCCTTTCATTTCGTTGTTGGAATTGTTACCTGATGATCCGGAGTCCTTTAAAAAGGATTTTGGTGAAATAAATTATTGTAATGGTACCTTAAAGTGATCTGTTTTTCATTAAATTTATATATATATATATATTTGAAGCTAATTTTAAGAGGGTCGTGTCATAGAGCTGATATAAAATTAGCGTATGTATTGGTGGCCCTGGCAACGCCGTTGACCGAATTATATATCTATTTACAGTAGTTAAAAATCTAGCTGTATTTAAATAAACATGATTTTGACAAAGTTTACTTAAATTTATCCCATATTAGTTCATGTAATATTCACATATTTGTATCATATTATAAAATAAAAACATAGCGAATATGCATCATTTCCTTGATCTACGTTTAGACGAGGTTTAGCTGTTTCTCGTTCGATTGTTTAGGGCTGTACGCGTTTACGCAACGAGTATAGCGTTACTAACCATAATTTCATCATTCTCATTTGCATTTGCAATTTATTTAACTAGCAGATGGGATAAACAGAGGGAAAAAAGGCTAGTCTGTTGTAATTTGGTCTCTCTAAAAAGAACTCGCATGTTACACGAGATGATTGATAAAATCACTTTTATACGTGAAGATTTGGACGTTGCACGATACGCGAGATCGCGCGTTACACACACACACACACACACACACACACACACACACATATATATATATATATATATATATATATATATATATATATATATATATATGGTAAGATAATCCGTGTGGACAATTCCAAAGATTATATAATCCAGAGAGAGCTCAATGTAACAACAGAGCAAATATTGATTAAATAATTAAGAAATAGAGAACCTTAAGATTCTATCACTATAATTTATTTCCCCAGAAAATACATTTTTCCTGGTTCATCATGTCACATCTCTAGTTATAAAGGAATTTGGTTTCTTTTCTTTTTAATACTGAAGATAAACCCGGAAAAAATATATGTTCTGGAGAAATATATTAAAATCATGAAACCTTAATGTTGTCTCTTTCTTAATTATTTATTTAATATATATATATATATATATATATATATATATATATATATATGTGTGTGTGTGTGTGTGTGTGTGTGTGTATAAAAGTATATAGAAAATAGGAAAGGACTCGTTAGGTAAATAATCTAAAGTTCTTCAGTATTTTTGTTATTTTTTTTAAAAAAATAGTTCTCGATACAAAAGTAGAGCGTAAATATAATTATTGATTTAAAAATATGACTCCAACGCTACATAAATTCAAATCTTCAAGCGAATTTTTTTAAAAACAAGAACCGAAAACTTCAATATAATTATTTGAATGAAATTGAATTAAAGTATTTCGCTTGAAGATGGAACAAAGCTTGGTACTTTAATTCAATTTAATTCAAATAATTATATTGAAGTGTCGCAAAATTCGGTCCAAACAATAGGAAGGGAACGGGTTGGTCTCGTAAAATTAGGTCCAAACAATAGGACGGGAACGGGTTGGCCCGGCACCGCCTACTTCCGGAAACACTCCTCAGCTTAACGACAGCTACAATCCAGCTACAACAACTCCACAGATCTTTGCACTCAAATGTTCCAACACCGCCTCGTAGTTCGCTACACACAACTCTCTCGAGTGGTCTCCCGCCGTCACATTTATCCCAGCGAACACCAACCAATTTGCATACGCCCAAGTTCTCCTCTCGCCAATCCTCGCGGCTACGAGATCGCGTTTCCATAAGTTCGACTCACCGTAATGGTGGTGTTTCTTTCTTCGGACCAATTACTGCCCTACACGCCAGACACAAACGAACCCTCTTATGCCGAGAACTGAGGTTAGTCTCATTTTCATGTCCACACTCCCCCCTGGTCTCAAGATCACACATGTGGCATTGCGGACGCGGTCGTTTGTTGCGGGCACTCCTACGAAGGGGATTGTCTGGACTTCTTCATCGGGACTCTCAGAAGGGGCATCAGAACTATCAGCATCAGCGTCGGGATCCGCAGTCAAACCATCAGGCCCGAGGGGCATAGGTCGGATCCACAGTTCATCGCTGGATGATTCACCACTGCTGCTACTAGTCAACTGGGTTCGTATTTAGGGCGGGCCGGACATCCTTCACATGGCGTGGAGTACCATCGACCAGCACTGCTTGCTCATTGACGATGCCGGTGATTCGTTTTCTTTGAAAGCTGGTGGTGCACCGGCTATTGGGAGGCTTCACCCAGACGGTGTCCCCTAACTTATACGGCCCTCGTGTTTCCCGCCGATCAGGCAGACACGCGTCAATGCCCTTGTTGCGCACTTGGTAGCGATGGATTGCATTGGCGGGTGCGCTTGCAGCAGTCACGGCATCCTTTGGTGTTGCATTGTATCTATAGACCGCCTCCGCTATCGTGCACTGCTTCCTGGCCGCGATCCTCTTTCACGCTTCGGTGGCACCGCTCTGCTATGCCGTTGCCACTCAGCACATATGCACAGCGGTGTCTGAGCCGGATCCCCACTCGTCTACGAAACGTCTAAACTCCCCGCTGCAGAAGGCCGTGTCGTTATCCGTAAGGATCTCTTCAGGCGGCCCCTTTCATAAAATATGGACTCCAATTCTCGGATGACACTGGATGAGTCCTGTCTTACTAATGGGCGCCAGATTGCGAACCTCGTCGGTCGGCAATCTATCAGTGTGAGGAAATGCTGGCTGCCGTAATGGGTTATGTCCATACCCAGTCGGCCCCAAGTCGTGTCTACCCCCAGCCGACCCTTCCGCCATTTAGCTGGGGCGGAGTCGATTGACTGGCATGTTTGGCATTCCTTCACCACCGCTCTGACTTCACTTTTGGACACTGACGGATTGGTCAACTGTACAAAATAGCATGTCCGTCTCACTCCGTGGTGCCCACTGTTGTGGTGTATCTCCTTGATTTTGTCCGCCGCCTTAACAGAGGCAGCACATAGTAACGGTACTGGCTCAGTTTCTTTCTTCATGGCGCCATACCATCTCTGTGGCACACGAGTGAGCCTATCAGCAAGGTTGCAGTTTGAGGTGACAAGCACCGCATCCATAGATAGGTTGTATTCTGTTACCAGCTTTCTTATGGTCTCCAACCTCCGTCTGATCAGCATCTCGCTAGCCGCCTTGGTACGCACCCTGGCCTTGCCTGTCAGTGTGTCCGATATCCAGTGCTACACACATAACGAATCAGTGTGTATGTGTAATTTCTTAACTTTCCACTGGAGTGCCAGGTTGATGCCTTTTATCACCGCATCGAGCTCTGCCAGGTTGATATGAGCAGCGTCATTCACCGGTCGCAACCAGCAGGCGTCCTCAATCGCAGCCCCATTCTTCTCCAACAGCACATCAATCGCCAGAGAGCTCGCATCCACCCACACGTTCAGTTCGTCTCCCTGCACGCACCAGTCTCCTTTGGCGGGGTCATCCTGCTTTACTCTTGCGATGGTCTCCTTCACCATGCGAACCAACAGATCGTCCGTTGTTTCATCGTCCCAGCCTTTGGTGACTGCGCTAGCCCTTCTTTTTATGGTGCCTGTTGCCACACGAGTCCATCCACACACTGGTAGATGCCCCACAAGTCTTCCACACAGGAGAATATAGCTCGCCTCGTGAAGACATCGGGTACTTCAGGAACTGCAGTTCCGCGCCCCATTTTAAGGTCTCTCGCTCCTGTTGAACGTTCAGGCCCAAGACACGGGCACCATCCTCCAAACGTTCTGGGTCCTTACAAGTCAGACCAAACTCAGCCAGTTTGGACCTCACGCGTGATGACGACACAACGTCTTCGTTCACATATATATCATCAAGGTACGCCGATGTCCCCTCTTTTATTGTTTCTTCCTGTGACAACACAGCGTTGACGATGGTCTTCATTATTTGGGGTGCCACGTTCAGCCCGAAGCCCAGCCTAGTAAGGCAGTACCTCCTGCCGGCAAACACCACCGTCTGAAATGGCCACATCGCCTCGCTGACCCGGACCTGCAGGTACGCTTTTTTCTTAGATCCAGCAGGGACACATTGGAACCCTTCTTCATCTGCCGTGAACGCATCAACATGCGCGTTTAGTTCGCGGTAGTCCATCACTGGCCTCACCTTTTTTGCTTTGTTGTGCTGAGCAACCGCCATCAGCGGGATCAGGCCTTTGGGAGGTCCAAGTTTCTCGCAGGGTAAGGAATCAACCAGCCATCCTTGATCCATTCACGGAGCTTCCCTTCGTATGCAGGCCTTATTTGATCGACATGGTACTCGGCTACCTCGTTCCGCAGTTTGGCTGGTTCCTGGTTTTCCGACCACCTCCATGAGGTGGTCCAAGTCTTCTGCTGCTGGTCAACGACACTAAAGTCCGACTGGTCGATCCTCAGAGCTGCGTGGGGCCCTCTCCTGAAACTGTACTGCCCCCGTCTGCGTTATGTGAACACCACCTAAATCTCTGATGGCATCATCTCAAAATTCAAACACTACTAGCGCCTCGACGTTGGCCGAGTTTCCAGTTCTTGTACGGATGTTCACCGCGCCTACCCCGCAACACCTTCGTGTTTCTCCACTGATGGTGGTCACCCTGGGTGCGGGAGCAACCGGAATCGAGAAGTGCTGAGCACGATGTCTCATTAATGTAGACCTGGATGATCGGAAGCGCCTCATCTAATTTCTGCTTGGGGAAGAGGTCGACGCTGGCACCTTGTCCCCGGCCCCGTTTCCCGCACAATCCCGGACCAAATGTCCAGTCTCATTACACCGGTAGCAGCGAACAGCTGTCAGTCGCCTCCTGCAGTTCCTCGCAATGTGGCCCTGGCCACCGCACCTATAACATACGACCCCACTACGGGGGCTGGGCCCCTGAAACGGTCTATCATCACTCGGCGTGGACTGTGCAGCGGCGACTACCGGTTCTCTCACCTCAGAGCTGTCTTTCATCACGGTCCTGGCCCGGTCTACCAGGTCATTAAGGGACAACGAGTCTATGCTTAAGCTCACTCGCAGGAGTTGCTTTGCTCGGTTGGGAGCCCTGCCAGAAATTTGTATGCCAAAGGCCCGCTCCGGGCAGTCCACCGAACAACACCGTCAACTTCGTCAGCTCGGCCAGATACACGTCGACAGTTTCGCCTGGAAGTAAAGTTCTTGCCTCGAATTGTTCCCATGCAGTGGCGGGGTCGATAGCAAACGCCTTGTATAGTGCTGCCTTGATTCTCTTATAATCTTGTTTTTCCTCAGGACTGAGCTGTTGATACACAGCGAAAGCCCCGCCAGACAGCCGCAGAGGAATCACATGTTCAATGTTCATTATGCCAGACAAGAGGCAATGAAATTCCACTTTTTCCACCCAGTCAAGTACCGGGGTTGAGCCATCGAACTCCGGAATCAATTTCAAGTCGAATCTGTCCCCCATTATGCCGAAATAGCTTGTCGCAAAATTCGGTCCAAACAATAGGAAGGGAACGGGTTGGTCTCGTAAAATTACGTCCAAACAATAGGACGGGAACGGGTTGGCCCGGCACCGCCTACTTCCGGAAACACTCCTCAGCTTAACGACAGCTACAATCCAGCTACAACAACTCCACAGATCTTTGCACTCAAATGTTCCAACACCGCCTCGTAGTTCGCTACACACAACTCTCTCGAGTGGTCTCCCGCCGTCACATTTATCCCAGCGAACACCAACCAATTTGCATACGCCCAAGTTCTCCTCTCGCCAATCCTCGCGGCTACGAGATCGCGTTTCCATAAGTTCGACTCACCGTAATGGTGGTGTTTCTTTCTTCGGACCAATTACTGCCCTACACGCCAGACACAAACGAACCCTCTTATGCCGAGAACTGAGGTTAGTCTCATTTTCATGTCCACATGAAGTTTTCGGCTCTTCTTTTGAAACATGAGAACTCTGTATATATATATATATATATATATATATATATATATATATATATATATATAAGAAGGTTAGTACTGAAAGCAGATACTAAATCTATATGTAAACGGGGCATTGACACAACCCAGTAATTGTTTCCTCGAGGAAATTTTAGAAGGAACTACTTTAAACCCTTTTTTTACATCCTGTTTTTCAGACTTCTTTTAATATAGCATTGTCTATTACAATGGGCATCTTGGTAGCGACATTGCCTGTAGCGAGTAGAGATCACTTTTATAACCCTCTGTCCCTATCAACCTCTTTACTGACATTCAAGGCGTCAGTAAAAGATGACCTGACGAACGAATATTCTGCGAAAACCCGGAATCAATAAACCACGTGATTGTCGTGGTGAACTATGATTGGTTGGAAAGGTCATCTCCTGACTCCTCAATCATATTGGAGCCAAGGATATCATGCCGATTCGTTTCCATAAAACTCGAATGAGGAAACTTTTCATTTAAATCTGGTAAGCAACTACGCCTATGCCTGGAAATTTTCGAGTGTTTTTTTGTTTTTTTTTTTTGTATTTCTTTTTAATTTCTTTAGGTATTTTCCTTATTTCATTTTACGAAGACGAGAAATTATAAATCGAAAAAGCCAATGCTTAAGCTATCAGATTGTTCGGAAAATAATGTTCGATTTTGGAATTAATGTCTTAATTTTGTCCGAATATACTATTAAAATAGTCGCACGAAAATATGTTACACATTCCTAATGATTAAAGTGTCGTCGTTGTTAATTTTGTATCAATCGCTTTCAGATATTTGTTCTCAAATACGTGACGCCGCCTGGAATATACAGGGTGTTTCAAAAAATTTGGTATCATTTCGCAATCTAATAACTTTGTTAGATCTCCTTCAAGTGACTTCAAATTTTAATAGCATCTTTATGTTTAATGTTTGTTTTATGTCTTTATGTTTTTGTGTTTTTCTTATTTGTATTTTTATGTTCTTTAATCTTTTTCTTTACAGGTATAAAAATGCTATTTACTAGAAGAGAAAAGGCGTTTTGTGTGTTCACATATTCCACATGCTTTTGAATTTCTCATTTAGATTTGGAAGAGTAAATCTTATGATCTTCAACATTAATACTTTTTAATTTCATTTGCCTTAATCATCTACTTTCTGTGATATTTACATCTCAAAGGATATCAAATTTTTTGAAACACCCTGTAGTATCATGTTGTTCGGAAAATAATGTCCGATTTTAAAATAAACATTTTGTGTCCTGGACTATTATTATAAGAGTTGTAAAAAATATATATTACTTATATCTGTTGATGAAAGCATTTTTTTAAAATTTTATATCGATCTCTTTCAGAATGTTGTTCTCAAATATGTGATGCACGATGAAAAATAGTATCAGATTGTTCGGAAAAATGTCCGCTTTTAAAATAAACCACTTTATTATAAATAATTCTCATAAATTATTATAATAGTTGCAACAAAATATATTACTCGTTACTAAAGACTAGTATAACCTATTTGCTATTGTTATTTTAATCTCTTTCAGAATGTTGTTCTCAAATATGTGATGCACGTTGCAACATACTATCAGGTTGTTCGTAAAAATAGATTAGATTTTAGAATAAACCTATTAGTTATTGTTATTTCAATCTCTTTCAGAATGTTGTTCTAAAGTACATGACGCAGGCTGTGTTGCCACTGAAAGATAGGATCAGGTTGATCGAAAATAACGTCCGATTTTAGACAAAATATTTTAATTACTGTTTTAATATATTGTTATAATAGTTTCACAAAAATATATCACAATTAACATCTGAAAATTCTAGTCACGCAAAACCCACAGAATTGTATTTTAAAATACGTGGCGCACACTGTGTATACACAGGAAAGTTATTATGCGTACAAAAATATATTATTTATTCATAATGATTAAAATGTCCACTTTGTTAATTTTATATCAATCTTTTTCAGAGTTTTTTTTTAAATAGATGGTACACTCTGTTTATACACTGGATATGTTATTAAGTTGTTCAGAAAATAATGTCCGATTTTGGAATAAACCTTTTAATAATATTCTAATATATTATAATAATAATAATCTTCAAAGACATTACATATTCTGACAGATTAAGTGTCCTCTATTATAAATTTTATAGCAATCGCTCTCAAACTGTTGTTCTCAGATATGTGACGCAGCTTGCAAAATAGTATCAGGTTGTTTGGAAAATCGTGTCCGATATTAGAATAAACATTTTGTGTTCTAATATAGCCTTACAATATGCGCAAAAATATATTACTCATTCCTAATGTTCAATTTGTCATCTGTGTTAATTATATTTCAATCTCTTCCGGGGAATTTTTTTTTTCAAATACATGACGCACCCTCTCTAATTATCAGGTTATTCAAAAACCGTGTCCTATCTTGAAATAATCATTTTTTTTTTTTTTTACTGTAAGTGTTTGATATATTTGGCCATGTCTTTTTACGATGTGCACACGTTTTCTTCGATTTACTAAGACGAGAAATCATTTTTTCAAAGTGAGAAATAGAAAAAGCCAAATTTTCAAACTGTTCCCTAGTTCAGAAAATACTGTTTGATTTTGGAGTAAATACTTTAAATGTGTTCTAATATAATTCAGTCAGTGATGTGCCATGCGTTATACATGACTGATGAGGCAGATTTCTTTCTGCGGTAGACCAGTTGCCATCCAAGGTTATAGAACCCAGTCTGTCCTGATCTTTACCCATAGCTGAGGGGAGAAGAAGAGGATTCATACCTATCCCAGGTCGGACAATTATGTTTCTGTGGTAGACCAGTTGGCATCTAAGGCTATAGAACCCGGTCTGTCCTGATATTTGCCCATAGCTGGGGTGGAGAAAAGGGTTTCATACCTTTCCTAAGGTTATTAGCACGTATATGGAATTCGACCTCGGCTCGCCGATTCCTCAATCCGAGCCGCTAACCAATACTCCACCGTCCCTCCTCCTATATATATATATATATATATATATATATATATATATATATATATATATATATATATATATATATATATATATATATTCTTAATGAATAACATTTTTTTCAGTTAATTTTATATCAATCTCATTCTGAAAATCTTTCTCAAATATGTGACGCACTGTGTATACACTGCAGAATAATATCAGGTTGTTCGTAAAATCATCTATGATTTTAGAATAAACCTATTTATTGGATTCAAATACATTATTATACTAGCCGCACAAAAGCATATTGCTCCTTCCTAATGATTAAAGTGTCCTCTTTGTTAATTTTATATCAATCTCTTTCAGAATGTAATTCTCAAATACATGACGCACACTTTGTATACACTGGTAAAATATTATATGTGTTGACAAATCTATTACTCATTCATAATGTTTAACGTTTCCTCTTTGTTAATTTTATATCAGTCTCTTTCAAAGGGTTGTTCTCAAATATTTGACGCGCCCTCTAAAATAGTATCAGGTTGATCGGAAAATAATGACCGATTTTAGAATAAAACTGAATTGTTTTCGAATATATCAGGTCATCCGATAAGTTCAGTCCGAATTTTGAATAAAGAAAACAAGTGACCAAATGTTACATTTAATTACAGATTCAATCAACAATGTATTTTCCCTGACTATCTATGACTTCCTTCCATCTATTAACAAGCTTACTATCAGGTCATCCCATAAGTTCTGTCCGAATTTTGAATTAAGAAAACAAGTGACCAATGTTACATTTAATTACAGATTCAATCAACAATGTATTTTCCCTGATTATCTATGACTTCCTTCCATCTATTAACAAGCTTACTAATTCCATTACTGTAAAATACTTTTGGCTTTGATTCGAAGAACTCACAAATGTCAGTTTTAACCTCTTCTGTGTTACAAAAGCTGTTTCTCCCAAATGACTCTGTAAGCTACGAAACAAATGGTAGTCTGAAGGAGCAAGATCGAGAGACTAAGATGGATGAGGAATTTTCTCCCAACCAAGGTCTTCGATCTTTTGTTATGTGATTCTTGCTGTATGGTGTCACACATTTTCCTGATGAAACATCACCTCTTTTCGATTCACTAGAACAGGTCTTTTATTCCTCAAAGCTTGGTTCAACCACTCTAATTGCTGACAGTATATTTGAGCATTAATTTTTGCATTAGGTGGTAAAAATTTAAAGTGGACTATTCCTTGGCGATCCCACCAGATTGAACCTTTTTCCCATGAAGTCCCCTTCTCGGATGTGGCTGGGGTCCTTCCCTTTTACCAAGCCACTGTCTACAACGCTTAACATTTTGATAAAAGATCCATTTTTTGTCGCCAGTCAAAGTCTATCCAAAAAAGGTGAAACAATTTGGAGAGAAGAGTAGATGTCAACTCGGGATTTGAGGTTGTTTTCAGACAATTCATGAGGCACCCATTTTCCAAGTTTAGGAACTTTTCCAAGTTGTTGACGATGACGATGAACAGTTGTATGGTTTGAACTGAGAACCACTGCCAATTCGTCAACTGATAAAGCATGATTTTCTTCAAGGGCTACTTCAAGAAGCTTTTCATCAAACTCAACTGGACGTCCGGTTCGATCTTCATCTTCAAGGGTGAAATCTCCACCTCTGAATTTTGCAAAACATCTTCTGCAAGTTCTTTCATTCACACATTCCTCTCCATAAACTGAGTGAATGTTTCTAGCCGCTTCGGCTGCTGAGTTTCCTTTCTTGAACTCATAAAGCATTATGCGCCTCAAATGATTCTTGGGTACTTCCATGTTAGCAGGGTTTTAATCAAACAAAATTTAATTTTATTGTTCTCTGAAATAAAATTTGATCAGTTTAAATTCATCTAAACATGAAAATAATGTTCAGCTCCATTAGACATTATTAAATACTCTTTAAATTTCGTTCATTTAAGCAAAAAGTTAAAATTTGGACAGAACTTATGG